GTCACATGACCTCCAAGCCACACCTACAAAATAAGCCACGCCCACAGAACCAGTAGTAAAAAAAATTAGAACCCAACCCTGGCGTCTTCTGTTCCTGAACTGTTGCCAAGAAAAGCCTTTGGCAGTTTGCCTAATTATCCCAAGGTCAGAGATAAATTGAAGATGTTTTGAGAAGGTTCTGTGCATGTGCAGAGGTGGCGTGCACACTCACATTTGCGAATCGGTAGCAAAGGTAAGTGAATACCACTACTGCTCTCTCTGTGTGTGTGTCCTTGTATCTGTTTGGCCCCAAAGACAGGCTGCCTTATAAATTCAAACTGCACATAAGAGGGATTTGTTCTTGTTAAACATCCCTTGGGCTCCGGTGGGATGCTTTTAGAAACAAGATACCACAATCTCAGACAGTCTATTTTCCAGCTCTTAGACATTAAGCAAAGAGAAACATCCCGTGCAATTCTCTATATAAAGAGGGCCTGGATTTGTTCCCTGGTTAGGGAGGAACGGCCTCCTCTGTTTTTCTGCCTTTAAAATTGGATTTCCAATGGATCCCATACAGATCCCTGGATCCGACCCACGGGGCTGCTCTGGAAACAGTGAAGTACTGGCCTGCAGTGCCTCTGCCAGTGAAAACGGAACTGGGGAGGGCTGTGTGCAGCCTTCCCTAGCTCCGTTTTCACTGGCAGAAGGTTGCAGGATGTCATCGCAGCCGAAATGGAGCTCAGGAGCCCGTTTTCACTGGCAGAGTGCTTGGGTCACTGGCAGAGGCGCCTCAATATGATGTCGAGGTGGCCATATGCCAACTCTGGCCGCCACCCCAACCCCCCCCCCCAGTCAAACACAACCCTGATGAAATCAAATTTGACACCCCTGCTCTAGGAGATAGCAGGAATGGAATGGAATGGAATGGAATGGAATGGAATGGAATGGAATGGAGTGGAGTGGAGTAGAGTAGAGTAGAGTAGAGTAGTAGAGTAGAGTAGAGTAGAGTAGAGTGAGTAGAGTAGAATAGAATAGATAGAATAGAATAGATAGAATAGAAGGATGGATGGATAGAGTAGAGTAGAGTAGAGTAGAGTAGAATAGAATAGAATAGAATAGAATAGAATAGAATAGAATAGATAGAATAGAATGAATAGAATAGAATAGAATAGGATGGATGGATAGAGTAGAGTAGAGTAGAGTAGAATAGAATAGAATAGAATAGAATAGAATAGAATAGAATAGAATAGAATAGAATAGAATAGAATAGAAGGATGGGATGGATAGAGTAGAGTAGAGTAGAGTAGAGTAGAGTAGAGTAGAATAGAATAGATAGAATAGAATAGAATAGAATAGAATAGAATAGAATAGTAAATAGAAGGATGGAGATAGAGTAGAGTGGAGTGGAGTGGAGTGGAGTGGAGTAGTGGAGTAGTGGAGTGGAGTGGAGTGGAGTAGAGTAGAGTAGAGAGAATAGAATAGAATAGAATAGAATAGAATAGAATAGAATGGGACCTTAGAGGTCTTCTAGTCCAACCCCCTGCTCAAGTAGGAGACCCCTATACCATTTCAGATAAATGGCTGTCCAGACTCTTCTTTAGAAACCTCTAGTGATGGAGCACCCACAACTTCTGGAGGCAAGCTGTCCCACTGGTTAATTCTTCTCACTGTCAAGAAGTTCCTCCTTAATTTCCAGGTTGCCTTTCTCCTTGATTAGTTTCCATCCATTGTTTCTTGTCTTGCCACCTGGTGCTTTGGAAAACAGGTTGACCATTTCTTCTTTGTGGCAGACCCTTAAATACCTAAATATTGGAACAATGCTATCATGTCCCCCCCAGTCCTTCTTTTCTCTAGACTAGCCAAACCCAAATCCTGCAACCCGTTTTTCGTATGTTTTTGTCTCCAGGCCCTTAATCATCCTAGTTCTCCTCTTCTCTATACTTTTTCCAAAGTCTCAAGATCTTTTTTGGTAATGGGGTGACCAAAACTGGAGGCAGTATTCCTTGCTAAGGCTTTATAAAGCGGTACTAATAATTCATGCGATCTTGACTCTGTGCCTCTGTTTGTGCAACCAAAGATTGCATCATGAAAAGAGCAGGGGTGTCTGCTTTAGGAGAGGAGGGGAACCCCAATGTTGAACCCTGTTTCTTTTTGACCTCAAAACCAGCTGAGAAACTTAGTGCTGGCCGAGCGCCTCTCTCCATTGAGCCAACCTTACCTTCATTATGACATTTGCTGCCGATTCCACATTTTTGATGCACAATTCCCACGCATGATTTATTCCTGTCATAGAAGATACTAGATTTGCACGAATGAGCATGGTTCCACACAGCAATTACACCTCTCTTGGGGTGAGGAGGAGGAAGGGAAACGTAATTTTAATCTGGGGGAGGGGGGCGGAAATAGTCTTTCATCCATCAAAAGACTCTTCTCTTCTTCCCGTTGTTGAGTCGTTGTTGGCTTCAGGGTCAAAAAAGCAAGGAAAATTGCTGAGGGGTAGAAACTTGAATTTGGGCCTGCCTTTACTTGCATTTTAGGTATGGCACAAACGTACCTCAGTAGATTTCCCCCCCACCCTGGATTGTTCCATCATGACATAGTTTTCTGTAGATTTATTTATTTATTTGTTTGGAGAAAACGTTGGCAAAATAATGGCAAAAAATGTTAAAAAGCACATCATAATTACATTTGCAATGAGCAAATATGAAACTATTTACTCTACAGCTAGTGCTTCGATTTATGACCGTCGTTGAGCCCAAAATTTATGTTGCTCTGAAACATTTAAGTGAATTTTGCCCCATTTTATGACCTTTCTTGCCACAGTTGTTAAGCGGATCACTGCAATGGTTTCAGTTAGTAATCCGGTTGTTAAATGAACCATTGACTTTGCTTGTCAGAAGGCCACAAAAGGGGACACTGCAACCGTCACAAAGATGAGTCAGTTGCCAAGCATCTGAATTTTGATCACATGATCATGGGGATGCTGCAACGGTTGTAGTGTGAAAAACGATCAGAAGTCACATTTTTCAGCACCGTGGTAACTTTGAACAGTCACTAAATGAAATGTTGCAACTCGAGGACTATCTAACATAGATAGTCCTTGAGTAGACAAGAGCCTACTTCAGCTGACTGCTAGTTCAGCAGATCAGCAGATCAAATCTCACCGGCTCAAGGTTGACTCAGCCTTCCATCCTTCCGAGGTGGGTAAAATGAGGACCCAGATTGTTGGGGACAATATGCTATTTAGTATACTGTCTTTAGTGTAAGCCGCCCAGAGTCCTCGGAGAGTGGGCGGCATAGAAATACGAATAATAAATAAATAAATAAATAAACAAAAACTGTTTCAACTCCTATCCTCAAAACGATGCTATAGAGCACTGCACACCAGAACAACTAGACACAAGGACAGTTTTTTCTCGAATGCCATCACTCTGCTAAACAAATAATTCCCACAACACTGTCAAACTATTTACTAAGTCTGTATACCATTAATCTTCTCATCGTTCCCACCACCCATCTCCTTCCACTTATGACTGTATGACTGTAATTTTGTTGCTTGTATCATTTGTACCCTACGACTATCATTAAGTGTTGTACCTTATGATTCTTGAGGAACGTATCTTTTCTTTTATGTATACTGAGAGCATATGCACCAAGACAAATTTCTTGTGTATCCAATCACACTTGACCAATTAAAAAAAAAAATTCTATTCTGTAAAGCAGGGGATGTTGTGACATTGTGATGGCACAATGGAGGACCATTCTTCTTCTGTAGGATGGACAGTCTTCAGTTATTCTTAGCTCTATTGCAGTATTTTTCTTTTGGACTGCAATTTAATTTGTTGGTGGGGATACAACCAGAGGTGGTATTCAGCTGGTTTGGGTCGGTTCACCCGAACCGGTAGAGGAAATCATGGGTGGGCCCGCTCCCCACCCACGCGCCCCAGCTCTATGCCATCCTATTTAGATACGTTTTTGAGGTCGGGCACATGTGTCACGTGTCTTTGCTTGGATGTTGGCCAAATGCTTGTACCTCTCCCCTTCTTAGTTGGGGAGCTCAATTTCAGTGAAGGAAGCCTCCATGTCTGAGAGATTGAATCCCAAACTTTCTTCTTCCAGCCCCAAAGAGTCAAGGAACTCCTTGGACAACCTTGGAGCTTTCATGACCTATATCCGTGATGGCGAACCTAACACAGGTGGCATGTGGAGCCATGTTGGTGGGCACGCGAGCATTGCCCAAGCTCAAGTCCAGTGCGCATATGCGTGCTGGCCAGCTGATTTTCGGGCCTTCCGGTCTCACTGGAAGTCAGCAAACGGGCCATTTCCAGCCTCCGGAGGCCCTCTGGGGTGTGTGGGGAAGGCCGTTTTTGCCCTCCCCAGGCTCCTAGAAAGCCTCTGGAGGCTGGGGAGAGAGAAAAATGGAAGCAGGAAAACAGCCTGTTTCCCTACTTCTGGTGAGGAAGAAGGAAGGAAGGAAGGAAGGAAGGAAAAGGAAGGAAGGAAGGAAGGAAGGAAGGAAGGAAGGAAGGAAGGAAGATTATAATGAGAGTGAGGGAGGGTCTGAGGGAAGTCCTGTCTTAGCACCTGGCCACTACAGGTGCCCCCAACATGAGTGATGTTGAGCTGACCTTGGCCACCCGGCCACCCGAGGTCAAACACAACCCTGATGCGGCCCTCAATGAAATCGAGTGTGACACCTCTAGGCTAATAGATCCAACCTGGGGAAAGTATCTTCTCCAGCTATGGAGTACCATCAATTTTCACCAGATGTCTTGTTTCTTCCAAGCACCGGAGCATTACAGGGGTTCTCTTTTAGAAACCAAACTAACTAAAATTAAGCCCCTCTCTTTTCCCCTTGCAAATTTGCCTCCAGCACTGGAGTCCTTCTGTAAAAGCCTGACTACTCCAGAGCTGAGTGGCCAAGGTGGCTCATGTGCATCCTCGGTGTAAATGCTTCCCTTCTCCATCGGCGCTTTGAAATGCCTGACTTTGGCTCAGACATATGTACTCTCAGTTGTAAATCACGGGGAGCGGCATTGATCCACCGTGGCCACCTCTTTTAATCCGAAGTACGCACTGCATTCCCCCACGGAGGCTTCTCCCCAAGGCGGTCTCCATTACCTCCTCTTGACAGCTGAATGTGACAGCTCGAATTACCTCAGCAACGCAATCGAAATGGTGGCTCTCTCGCCCGGCGTCCTGCCGCCAACCCACAGACACGCACCTGAGTTGTCTCATTTCTAATTAAGCGGTAATGTCTTCTGTCTGGATTGCTAAATGTCCTGGACCCCGAGATAGCCTGGAAGGAAATGTTATAAACAGAAACAAGCAGAGTGAGTTCTGGGGTTTGGTTTTTTTTCTCCCCCTCCTAACCTTCTCTCCCTCCTCCCAGCAACGTTATTGATCACCATGATACATCCGTCTATGAAAGAGTCAGACCTGCCCCCAAGCACCGTTTGCTTCTGTCGGGGAGAACAGAAGGAGGCCAATTCATAAAAACAAAGAGACTTTGCTATCTGGCCACAGTGTCTATTGACCTTGCTACATTCAAAAAGAGTCCTCGACATAGAACAGCACGCTTAGTGACCGTTCGAAGTTACAACGGCACTGAAAAAAGAGACTTATGATCATTTTTCACACTTATAATCGTTGTAGTATCCCGATGGTTACGAGTCCTCCACTCACAATAGAATACCTTATGACACTAGACTTGAAATTTTGGGTTTAGACAACTTGGAACTACACCACCTTCGTTCCGAGCTAAGCATAGTACATAAAATTATTCATTACAATGTCCTACTTGTCAATGACTACTTCAGCTTCAACTGCAACAATACACGAGCACACAATAGATACAAACTTAAGGTAAACCGCACCAAACTTGATTGCAGAAAATACAGCTTCAGCAACAGAGTGGTCAATGCCTGGAATGCACTACCTGACTCTGTGGTTTCTTCCCCAAACCCCCAAAACTTTAACCTTAGACTGTCTACTGTTGACCTCACTCCATTCCTAAGAGGTCTGTAAGGGGCGTGCATAAGCGCACTAACATGCCTACCATCCCTGTCCTAATGTCCCCCTTTTATTTGTAACCATTTCATGTATTAATAACCATGTTTGTATCTATATCTGTTATCTAATACGTGCTTGACAAAATAAATAAAATAAATAAATAAATAAAAAATAAAAGTGGAGGGAATGCTAATCACATTTGTCAATGATCATCGCAGTGACCCAAAAGTTTCTGCAAGAACAAAGATCCTTGTCCCCAAATATTTGCTTCATTTTCTTTAAACCTGGAATTTTCATGCTGCGTTTAAACTGCAATACATATAATCCTCAATTGACGACTACGATTGAGTCCAAAATTTCTGTTGCTTAGCGAGAAAGTTGTTAAGTGAATTTTGCTCCATTTTGCCACAGTCGTTAAGTGAATCACTGCCGTTGTTAAATTAGTAACGCAGTTGTTAAGTGAATCTGGCTTCCCCCCTTGACTTTGCTTATCAAGAGGTTACAAAAGGCGATCACGTGACCTTTGGACACTGCAACCGTCATAAAGATGAGTCTGTTGTGAAGTTTCCGAATTTTGATCATCATCGAATTTTTGAACATCTCTATGGAGATGTTGCCAGGGTCATGTGAAAAATGGTTGAAAGTCACTTCTTCAGTGTCGTCGTAACTTCGAACAGTCCCTAAACGAAACTGTTATATTGTAAGTTGAGAACTACCTGTAGTGCAATTGATTGAAATATAGACAGAGTCCTTATTCCAGAAAGCTAGCTTCTAAATTCCCTTCCTAGACCTGGACCTTTAATTTTTTTTTTTAAAAAAATTATATTTCTTAAATTAAACACTTTACCGGCAAACTCTGCTTACAACCTGAAGTGATGAGACCCGAATGACTACCAGTGTGTACTTTCCTCCCATCGGCACGTCCTCGGCTGTCGCACTTGTTCTAATGAATGTCATTTGCACACCTGCCAAATCTGAGGTGGCTTCTGAGTGTCATTTATAAGCTTCAGAAAGTGAGGGGAAAATCCGGGTGTTTCATGCTTTGCTCGTTTCGAAATAAATCTTCCAAGTAGCTGTCACTGCCATTTTTTTTTTCCTTCTGCTCTTTTCCTTCTTTAATTCCCTTGGTTTTATTTTATTTTATTTTCTGTGCGGCGTGCCTCTTGTTTGTCAAAATGCATTTTAATAATTTGAAGGAAAACATGAGGCGTAATTTTTTTTTTCCAAAACAGCCGACAAACCCGAAGGGGAAATACAACTTTGAATCTCACGTTTGTGCTTACGTGGTAACGATCTGGAATAAGCCACAGAATGCTGCGCTATGTATAATAAATAATTCCATAATTCCCATGCAAACAGCTTTGGGTCTTACTTATAAAGAATGGCAGCTGTGCATTTGTGTGTCTGTGTGAAAAAGATGAAAAACTCTCCTTTTAACAAAGGAAAGGCAACTGTCTGGCCCCAGAGTGGGGTGGGAATGGAGATTTTGCAATATCCTTCCCCCAGGAGTGGGGAGGGAATGGGGATTTTGCAGTATCCTTCCCCTGCCACGCCCACCAAGCGACGCCCAAGCCACACCCACAGAACTGGTAGCAAAAAAATTTGCATTTCACCACTGATCAAAACTGTCTATTTTTTGGTTGGAGGGTGCAGGCTAAGGATCAGTTCTCTGATCTAATTGTACGTACTGGTAGTCCTCGACTACAATTGACCCAAAATTTCTATTGTTAAGTGAGACATTTATTTAAGTGAGGTTTGCCCCATTTTGCGACCTTCCTTGCCACAGTTGTTAAGTGGATCACTGCAGTGGTTCAGTTAGTAACCCGGTTGTTAAATGAACCATTGACTTTGCTTGTCAGAAGGCCACAAAAGGGGACCGCATTGACCCCGGGACATGGCAACCGTCACAAAGACGAGTCAGTTGCCAAGCATCTGAATTTTGATCACATGATCATGGGGATGCTGCAAAGCAGTGGTGGGATTTAAATAATTTAACAACCGGTTCTCTGCTCTAATGACCAGCTGGGTGGGCATGGCCATGGTGGGCGTGGCCAGGGATGTGTGACAGGCAGCACTCAGCCTCCTGCACCTCCCTGGGAGCAAAAATGGGCTGTGGGAGGGGGGCGCTGCCACTCCGTGCCCCCTTTTGGGCCTAGTAGGCCTCCCTGCAGCCTCCTGGGAGCAAAAACGGGCCATGGGGGGGGCACTGCACCCCCGTGCCCCATTTTGGGTCTAGTAGGCCTCCCTGCACTTACCTGGGAGCCAAAACGGGGCACCTGGGGACTCCTGGAAGGGGAGGGGAGGGAGGAGTGAGGCCAGCCAGCAATTTAACAATTGGTTCGCCTGAACTCTGCCCAAACCGGCTGAATCCCACCACTGCTGCAAAGGTTGTAGCTGTGAAAAATGGCCGCTTTTTTTCAGTGCCGTGGTAACTTTGAACGGTTACTAAATGAACTGATGTAAATTGAGGACTAGCTATATATTTTGGGTCTTGGTAGTTTTCAATGTCTTCCATCCTGTTTGCATTCTCCACTCTGTTTGGGGTGGGTTTTTATTTTGTTTTTTGTTTTTGTTTTTTTGGGTGGTATTTTGTGTGTCTTTGAAGTTGGAAGCTGAATGGGTCCAGCAAAGGCAGCCTGGCTTTGAAATCCCAGGGTGGGTGGGGTGAGGGAGACGATCTCAGGGTTATCTGCACAGCTGCTGCCAGTAAAGCTGAAAACTCAGCTGGAATAAGAGACCCTCTCCAGCTACAGAGGTTGTTGAAAGTTATCCTTTGCTTTTTCCTATTTATTTGTCTATCTGAAAGGTGCCTTTGCTTTCTTCTTTTGGTTCAACAGTAGCCTAGAATTTCTCAGTCTTGGCAGCTTTAAGAGGTGTGGACTTCAACTCCCAGAATTCCCCAGCAGCAGGTCCCATTCCACACATCTTAAAAGACGCTAACTGGGGAATTCTGGGAGTTGAAGTCCACAGTTCAAACTCTAGCCCACTTCCTCTTGCATCTTTTTAACCACTAATAAAATGTAAAGGTAAAGGTTCCCCTCGCACATATGTGCTAGTCGTTCCCGACTCTAGGGGGCGGTGCTCATCTCTGTTTCAAAGCTGAAGAGCCAGCACTGTCCGAAGTCCTCTTGGTGGTCATGTGGCCGGCATGACTAAACGCCAAAGGTGCACAGAGCGCTGTTACCTTCCCACCAAAGGTGGTCCCTATTTTTCTACTTGCATTTTTTACGTGCCTTTGAACTGCTAGGTTGGCAGAAGCTGGGACAAGTAATGGGAGCTCACCCCGTTACGCAGCGCTAGGGATTCGAACCGCTGAACTGCCGACCTTTCGATCGACAAGCTCAGCGTCTTAGCCACTGAGCCACCACATCTCTTCTAAATAAAATGTACAATCAAGTATATTATACTTCAACTCAAGATGGCAAACATACATAATACTCCTCCTCCTAGTTTCCCCACAACAATTGCAGCCCTGTGAGATGAAGAGAGAGTGACTGGTCCAGCCAACTTTCATATCTAAAGCGGGACTAGAACTCACTGTCTCCTGGTGATTGGCTCCAAGTCACCCAGCCAGCTTTCATACCTAAGGTGGAACTAGAAATCCCAGTCTACTTCAGTGGTGGGTTCTTCCCGGTTTGGTCCGGTTCGGCCGAGCTGGTAGCGGTGACGATATGACATCACCGAACCGATTCTCCTCCCCCCCGCCCTCCCACCCCCCCACCCACGTTATTCTTACCTTTTATTTGGTCCCACCCCCAATCTATTGCTGCCTCCTGAGTCCCAGCTGATGACTAGAGGGAAAAAAACTCTTGCAGCGGGGCTTCAAAGGGCCGTCCTACAGCTGATCAGTGTTAAAAGCAAACAAATGAGTCGGGTCGTAAGTGCGAGGACTGGTCCTGTGCGAGGACTGGTCGTAAGTGCGAGGACCTTCCAGAAATGACTCTGACCAGCTAACCACGCCCACCTAGTCACATGACCTCCAAGCCACACCTACAAAATAAGCCACGCCCACAGAACCGGTAGTAAAAAAAATTTAGAACCCACCCCTGGTCTACTTGTGATTGGTTCAATGTCACCCACCCAGTTTTCATGCCTAAGGCAGAACTAGAACTCACAGTCTCACAGCCTGGAGCCTTAACTGCTACTAGACCAAACCAGCTCACTGATATGTAAATACTTGAGAAATATTTGGGAATATGAGTATGAATTAATCTTCTCTGCTAATGTTCTCTAAACTACTGTGTTCATTTCAGTGCTATTATCCACCAACTTTTGCACTTTTTGAAGCTCAGAAAATATACATTTCCATGTTTATTAATTTGTATTTCGAAAGCAAATGCATGTAGATATGTTTCTGGTGCGGAAAAAAAAGTTAAATATGAATCACGTCAGATTTTTTTTTTTTAAGAAATCAGATTTACATGAAAAAAGGAAGAATATATGCAGAAATTACATGGATTCATAACGGAGGGAATGATCCATCCATAATGCAAAATTATTCTGATTTATCAGAGATGCTTAGCTCGATAGTAGCAATTAGCTTATCTTGGCTGATTACCAAAAGCTAAATAAATCAGCCTTTTGAATAGGAGACATCAGAAAACACCAGAAATATAGTTCTCCCCAAAGCCATTCTCATGTGGTTCAGAAGTCAAGCCTCCAACTTACGACAGTTCATTTAGTGACCATTCAAAGTTACAACAGCACGGAAAAAAGGGACTTATGACCATTTTTCACCTTTATAGCATCCTCATGATCATGTGATCAAAATTCAGATGTTTGGCAACTGGTTCAAACTTATGACCGGGGTCATGTGATCCCCTTTTGCAATCTTTTCATAAGCAAAGTCAATGGGGAAGCCAGATTCGCTTAACAACCAGGTTACAAACTTATCAACTGCAGTGATTCACTTAACAATTGTGGCAAGAAAGGTTGTAAAATGAGGCACAACTCACTTAACAAATGTCTCACTTAACAACAGAAATGTTGGGCTCAATTGTGGTCATAAGTCGATGAATACCTGTATATGGCCCTGGAGACAGTTTGGTTAAGTGATTAAGGCACCAGGTTAGAAAGTTCTGCTTTAGGCATGAAAGCTAACTGTCAGCACTTCAAGCTGCATTTACTCTAGTGCTAACATAAGAAGGAGAAGTGGAGGTGTCTGGAAAGGGACGTTTGACTTTTCACCTACTTATTTTCCCTGGAGATAATATCCCCTAGGAGATGGGATGGGAGGGGGGAAATTCCTTTGAGCTGGAGCAGTAGATTAGGGGTAGAGTGACTTGGAAGATGGCCAATGAGTGCAGAGGAGTGGGGAAAGGAAAGGGAGGGTTTTGGGTCAGGAAGTCAGTGTTGGCTATGATGGAGTCGGAGTTAGAATGTCGTGCTTAATAAATGGGAGTTTTTCATCAAAGACTTGTTTGAAATGCAATTTATTTGAGGCGACCTCGAAACTTGACACTAACTGGGTGAGTTTGAGCCAATCACCAGAAGAATGTGAATTCTAGTCCCACTTTAGGCATGAAAGCTGGGTGAGTGACTTTGGGCCAGTCACTCTCAGCCCAGCCCATCTCACCAGGGTTGTTGTTATGTGGAACATTGGATGAAGTTATGTTGGATATATTTGTCACCTTGAGTTCCACAATCACATGATCACAATTTATGATGTTTTTGTCGAAAACTAGCATTTACCTCTGATTTTTAGCAGAAAGGCCCCACAGCAAGCAATGATTTTGTGTGGTGATTCGCTTAATGACTGTCCCCCCCAAAAAATGTTGTAAAATTGGGTTGGATATATGACTGACCTGCTTTATGACTGGGCAGGTTTCATTACAGTCACCTGTACTTCCCTGTTATGGCCTATAAGCCTGTAAACAGCCTTTCAGGGTCTGTTTTAGTGGCTTAGAAGCATCACGTCAAATAGTCAATAAGTTTAGGATTTAACCTTGCAAAAGCTTTCCTTGTATGGTTTTTCTTAAAGCTATTACAGTTTATTCCAACTCTGTTGAAGTATCACCAGCATGATTGGCATATTCCCGCAATCCAAAGACATGTCCTTCATTTCACGGGTATTTGTTTTGATAGCTACGTTGAAACCAAGTGATGTTGATGCACTCATCTTAAGGCGTGTGTATTTCTCTTAGAGATGCCATAATGTAAGGACGATATGCTGGAGCTGGATGGTGAATGGGGAATCATCATTTTAGATACTGAAACTCTCTTCAGACATTCATCAAATCTGCATCCATGCTGTTGTGGCCTGCCAGTGGCCAGCAGAGCTGGCAGCAGATTCGGACAGTGAGGAGGTTGGGGACGAACATGGGCCAGTCCTGGAGTCTGGGGAAGGCTCAGACAAGGGCTCTGAGTCGGAGGCAGAGAGGGGGCCAAGGCCATCTGGTAGTTCTTTGCTGCCTCTGGAGTCTGTCATCAGCGAGGCAGAAGAACAGCGTCAGCCTGTTCCCAGTGTGCGCATGCGCAGAGCAGAAAACAAGGTCGACTTGAGAGTAAGGCTTGGAGATGATTGGCCCCTCCCATAAGACATAAAAGAGGAGCGAACGGAACATGAGCTTTTGCAGGAAGCAATTAGTTCATCTGATCAGTAAAAGTTCTGTTTGACTCTGTGCTAAGTTTGGCCTTGCCCTGCGTGTGGCAATTAGTTCTCTGGCAGCATTCCAAGGGAGATAAGGTGGGTGTTTGTAAACACTCCCCTGAAAGACTGTTTGAGAAGCCTTTTGGACTGGGAATGGCAATAATTCACAGCCATATGAATTAAAGAGGCTTGCCGGGACTAAGATGGTGCTGTATGCTTTCTAAAGAAGCCTAGGTCAGAACACATGCAAACATCTTTAATTTAGTTATCATGCTAATACCTTTTCTTGATTCATACAAGGTATGGAGTCATGGGTTAAACACAAATCCTGGCTGGGTTGGCAAACCAGTTTGAAACCAGAGAACCGGTTTGGTCTGGTGGGTAAGGCAACAGGCTACAAAGCAGGAGACCATGAGTTCAAGGCCCGCCTTAGCCACGAAAAACAGCTGGATGACTTTAAGTCAGTCACTCTCTCAGCCCAACCCACCTCACAGGGTTGTTGTTGTGGGGAAAATAGGAGGGGAGAAAGGTTGTGTTGTCTATGTTTGCTGCTCTGGGTTATTTATAAAAATAATAAAGGCAGGATACAAATAAAATAAAATTGAAGGAACATAATAATAATAATAGAACAGGTAGAATTAGTGGGACACAATAGTAGAGTCAGTAGAATTGGTTTGACTTGCTGTTTTGCTTCTGTAAGAATTGCTTTGCTAAGAATTAGAATTGCCTCTGCCATTTGCTTCTACCAGTGATCTCACCTCTGTGTTATCCTGTTATCCTGTTTTTCTGTACCACTCCGTGCCTGGTGGATATCTCAGGAAGCGGGGTTGCTACACACCAAGCCCTTCTGTTGCTAGATGCTTAGCCCCCCGGCCCCTGCTCCTTGCTACACAGCCAATGCAGGGCTACAGGAAAGGCATGGGCCAGGGAGCCAGTATTGGGTATTAAGCTAATGCTTCTGAAGGTATAAAAGGACGCCATACCTTCCCCAAGGTGTGGCTATTTCCTCACATGCATTGTATCTGTATGTTTTGTATCTGTATGTTCTGGATAGAGTCCCACCCAGTATTTTGGTTTTGGCCATAAACAAAATCTGTTTCTTTTTGCAAGCCCCGTCTTGAGTCTCTCTCTTTGGCATTCTTGTGACTCAAGTACATTTTGGGACCTTATGAAATGAAGAAAAAAAAAGAAACCAAAGAAGAGGTAGACAAAGAATAGAAGAGGATGGGATGGAAGAAGAGGAAGAAAAAACAGCAGTAATTGTGACAGGCCCATCCAAGGTTTAAATCAAGCTATCAATCATGGCAACTTTCTGATAAGAATCGGTTCAAACCAGCCAGAGATAAGAAGTGTGCAAAAATGTGTATTCTAGTAACAGAATCAATTTTTTTTTTCAAGAACCCCGGATTAACAGTACAATAGAATTGGAAGGGACCTTGAAGGTCTTCTAGTCCAACCCCCTGCTCAAGCTGGAGACCCAATGGCATTTCAGACAAATGGCTGTCCAGTCTCTTCTTAAAAACTTCCAGTGTTGGAACATTCACAACTTCTGGAGGCAAGTTGTTCCACTGATTAATTGTTCTCACTGTTAGGAAGTTTCTCCTTAATTCCAGGTTAAGTTCTCTCCTTGATTAGTTTCCATCCGTTGCTTCTTGTTCTGCCTTGTAACTTGTAAATTAGTAACCTGTAAACCCATTATGCCTCATTATAATGTGGGAAACACACCTTCTGGACGACAATGAGCATTAACAAGGTCATGCTAACTCTATTATGGGATGCTATGAAACGTTACACGGTACACATAAAGCTACGAGCGTGCTTGCTAGATCACAGATGAGTCAAATGATACTAGCCAATGAATGATGCATTCCAAGCCCAATATGTTTGAACTGTATACAAAGGGATCACCTACCTGTCTAAGAGTCAGGGGTGGGCTGCTGGGGGTTCGCAGGGGTTCAGGAGAACCTCTAGCTAAGATTCTGTGCAGTTCGGAGAACCCCCAAATCCCACTCCTGGCTGGTCCCGCCCACCGCACCCTGCCCCTCCCAGGAGTCCCCACGCGGCCCATTTTGGATGAAGGTAAGTGCAGGGCGCACACAGAGGCTTGGGGAGGGCAAAAAACGGGCCTACCAGAAATTCGAGAAGGCCTTCCAGAGACTGGGGAGGCTGTTTTCACCCACCCGGAGGCTCAAAAAAAGCCTCCGGAGCCCGGGGAGGGCAAAAATGCCCCCCCCGCCATGGTGCAGGAGGCCAACTAGGCCACGCCCACCATGGCCATGCCCTCCCAGCAACTGGGAAGAGAACCCCTTGCTAAAATATTCGAAGCCCAGCCCTGCTAAGGGGCCTTTCCTTAGAATCAATAAAGAGATATTAATCTACTTACAGCTTGGGTCCTATTTGGGCAGAGGCATACCAGAATAAAAATCTTGCTCGCTAACCCAGAAGTGGTAGAAGAAGAGACCTTCTCCATTGTCCCTAAAAGACCAAGCCACGCCCCCCCTGATGAAGGCCCACTTTCATTGCACCCCCAAGCTTCTCCCAAAAAAGTTAAGTCCATGTCCACAATAACAAAATTGCCTAAGTCTGATTTATGGGTCAACAATGGGCTGTTGGAGCAGCCAATCAGGCAAGAGTTGTGGGCGTGTCAGAATGCTCATGTCTGGCCAGCAGTTGGAAATGACAGTTGGTCCAAGAGAAATAAAATATGAGGATGAGCAGAGATATTCAAGACAGCTGAGGTTTTAGGGGACAAGCGGAAGTTGATGGAAAGACTTCCAAGAATGATAGTCAAGGGGAAGGCTGAAAGAACGAAGGAGTTGTAGATGAAAGTCATGGAAAAGATAGCAAAAGTCTAGAAGGACAATCTAAACTAGATCTTCCAACTGTGATGGAAGATGCAACTGGCCAAGCCAACTGAAATTTTGAGAGCTAACTTAGCTTGGATGTCATGCCTCATCCTGGTTTTTATGAACTGTAGTTTGGAAGATAGTCATGACTAGTCTTTGCTTGAAAGAAACCATGTTTTGTTTCCAAATATTATTTTGGTTAACTTTTGTTTAGCAATTGGATTTTAAAGGAAACTTGTGATTCCTTTAATTCTAAATATAATAGGTGATTTTGGGGTTGCAAAGCATGTCTAAAATATATTCATGATTTGGTGGGATTTGATCAGAGCCATATTAAATAAGGGGTGGGTGGTGCAAGAGAAAGTCACATTTTTATTTTTATTTTATTTTTGTTTCATGGGGTTTGCAAACCAGATTGTGTGGCTTGGTTCACAAATTGTACTAAATCAATTTGAAGTTTAATTTGTTCACACATTTGTCTAAGCCAAGCTCGGGTTTTTGGTCTAATATGATGAACAAACCCAGCAACAGTGGTGGGTTGCCCCCGGTTCGGACCGGTTTGCAAGAACTGGTAGTAAAACCAGCAGATGGTCCCGCCTACCGCCCCGGATGTCATCATCGGTGATCTGTGCATGCACGATCCCAATGCGTGCGATCTCATTGTGAACCGGTAGTAAAGGTAAGTAGAACCTGAAACTTTGTTTCTGAGGCTTTTTTTCTGAAGCTTCTTTCAGAGGCTTCTTTCAGCCTCTGAAATTTCCGTTTGCGAGGCTGGGCGGGCCTACATTCGGAGTATAAGTTGCACCCAGATTTTCACCCTCTTTTATGGGGAAAAAAAGGTATATTTTATACTCTGATAAATATGGTACATATTCACACTCTTTTGCCTTTTTTGCCCTTCCCATTCCTCCACACACTTCATGAATGCAGCTTTCCAGTATATTACTCAGAGGCCAGCTTCTATTGTCCACCTTGCTCTATTTAGTAAATAACTTAAATGAAAAATGCTATAGAATACTGTACTACACTGCACCTCAAGTAGTCCTTGATTTACAACAATTCGTTTAGTGACTGCTCAAGGTTACCACGGCACTGGAAAAACTGACTTATGACCGTTTCTCACACAACGGTTGCCGCATCCCTGTGGTCACATGATCAAAATTCAGATGCTCGGCAACCAAATTTTTGATGGTTGCAGTGTCCCGGTGTTACCCTTTGTGATCCTCACAAAGACAAATTCCTTGTGTATCCAATCACACGTGGCCAATGAAGAATTCTATTCTATTCTATTCTATTCTATTCTATTCTATTCTATTCTATTCTTTTCTATCCTCAGACAAGCAAAGCCAACGAAGAAGCCAGATCCACTTAACAACCGTGTTACTAATATAACAGCTGCAGGCATTCACTTAACAACGGCGGCAAGAAAGGTTGTAAAATGGGGCAAAGCTCGCTTAACAAGTGTCTGACTTAAGAACAGACATTTTGGGCTTGATGGTGCTCATAAGTCGAGAACTACCTGTATTTTCGATTTTTTTTCCTCTTCTGCCGCATTCTGCCAACCACTCTTCGAGGGGAGGGTGAGCACGGCAGCCAAAGTTTTAAGAGAAGACTCCGCAGCAATTTTACGATTTCCCCCTTCTCTTTGGGGCGTCTTTCCAACCTTTAGCTCCCAATTACCTCCTTTGGATTATGGGAGTTGAAGTCCAGCTCATCTGGATGCTCCCGGGGGCAACCAGAGCGAGAGATTTCCTTTTTTTGGGTTGGCGTGTGGCTGACTTCTGAGGGCACTCAGGAAAACATGCCTTCAGAGAGGCCCTTATCTGATGGCAGCGCCCGCTTGCCTGCGTCACGGAGCTTGGCTTTATAATTGGGGTTCGCTTGTTAATCTTTCCATGCCAGCATCTGCAAGAAACTGCGACGGAAGCACCATTTCACTTTAATTGAAGGTCAAGGATCTCTGTGGAATCTGCGAAGATTGTAAAGAGATCAGCAGTGGGCCCTTGAAACACCTAGATAACGCACAACCGTTTAGAGTTCTCGCCTCTCTCCCCAGCACACAAAGCCACGCTGGAGCCTCTTTACTGATACACTCACAGTGTTTTTTATTTTTTTTTGCAGCTTAGAAATTTATTGGAAATAAAAAGTATTGGCTCTCAAATTTGTAAGGTCGTCATTGGGTACCTATATAGCAGGGGTGAAATCCAGCAGGCTCTGACAGGTTCTGGAGAACTGGTAGCGGAAATTTTGAGCAGTTTGGAGAACCGGCATATATCACCTCTGGCTGGCCCCAGAGTGGGGAGGAAATGGAGATTTTGCAATATCCTTTCCCCAGGTGGGAGGAGGAAATGGGGATTTTGCAGTATCCTTCCCCTGGAGTGGGGTGGGAATGGAGATTTTGCAGTATCTTTCCCCTGCCACTCCATGCCCACCAAGCCATGCCCACAGAACCGGTAGTAAAAAAAATTGAATTTCACCACTGCTATATAGGTAGGTGGTCCTCAACTTATGATCCCACTTCAGTCCAAAAATTCGGTGGCTAAGTGAGACATTTGTTCAGCGAATTTTGCCCCATTTTTACGACCTTTCTTGCCACAGTTGTTATGTGAATCACTGCAGGTGTTAATTTAGTTGTCCGTATTCCAGACAACTTTAGCATTCCGAGTAAGGCACCCATTGAAAGCAGAACTCCGAGGCAGGTAGATTCCTCAAAGGACATGCTTATTGGATACATCATATCGGCACAGCCGGTGAAAACCAACTCTGAAAGTTCCCGTGGTTTTCACCTAATTAAAAGAGTAAAGCTTCCCTCCTCCCCTGTGTCACATTGTCCCCATTGTCCAATGAATATAGCTGGCAGGCTCCTCTCCTCCTTCACCAGCCACCTGTTACGATGACCTTGGTTCCCCACAGGAAAACTTTTTGTTTTGACTGTTATCCAGGCTATCTACTTTCCTCCTCCCTTCCCCCTCTCAGGCTTCGTGGCAACTATGAGGCAGCACAAAATGGCTTCATCCAGGTTCTCTTCAGAGTTGAAAGTAGTAACAGAGTCGTTAAGCTGTTTCCCCATTGATTTTGTTTATCAGAAGGTCGCAAAAGGTGACCGCGGGACACTTGTAATTGCCATAAATATGAGTCACCAAGCATCTGAATTTTGATCACGTGATGTGACCATGGGAATGCCACAATGGCCCTAAATGTGAAAAACAGTCATAAGTCAGTGCTGTTGTGACTTTGAAAGGTCCCTAAATGAACCGTTGTAAAACGAGGACCACCTGCAATGGTTGCAGAGGGACAATGAATCAGAATACAGGTAGTTCGTGACTTACAACCTTTTGTTTAGTGACTGTTCAAAGTTACAACAGCACTGAAAAAAGTGACATGACCGGTTTTCACACTTATGACTGTTGCGGCATTTCTGTGGTCACACAATCAAAATTCGGATGCTTGGCAACTGACACGTATTTATGATGGTTGCAGTGCCCCAAGATCATGTGATCCCTTTTGTGACTGTAGGAAGTTAGCATCCACCCCTTTCCTAGAAGAATGAAATATTTTAGGAAATATTAAAAAGGCCTGGATGAGAAATGGAGAACCATGTTTTAAAGACAAAGCAGCTCCCACCTTCCTGCCTCCCTCCCTTTTGTCAATGGGCCAGAGGCAGAAACCCAATTCTTTGTCAAAGGACCATCATCTGCAACACAATAGGACCCATCTAGCAACAGAAACTCACCACATGGCACCTGGGAAGATTACATCAGCCAGCAAGGCCAGCTAAGACCCCCACCCCCTGGGAGTCTGACAACCAATCAGGATACTCTTCCTGTGCCCCAGGAAGTTCAAAGCCCAGAGAGGGCATAAAACCCAGGGATTCACTGCGTTTCAGCCCCTTTTCTGTTCAGGAATTCAAACCATGTGATCCTGTCCACCATTAAACCATCTTTCCAAGCAATCTCCATGTTTCCAGTGTCTTTTTTCCCCACTTGGAGCTGAACCCAGAAGGATATTTCTTCTAACATGACCTTCTGACGAGCAAAGTCAATGGGGAAGCCAGATTCACTTAAAAATCGTGTTTCCAACATAACAGGTGCAGTGATTCACTTAACAACGGTGGCAAGGAAGTTTGTAAAATGGGGCAAAAACTCCCTTGCCCAGCAATGGAAATTTTGGGCTCAGTTGTGGTCGTAAATTGAGGATAATCTATGCAATGAATCAAGCAGAGTATGATTATGAATTAAATGCTCAACAATAAGAGCCTCTTTTGAAATGATCCACAATGCGGGGATTTTTGTGGGATGCTTTTCCAAGAAAGTCTGCAAAAAAAGCATCTGTGTTTCAGTACTGATCTTCCTAAGATCAATGGAACCTCAGCTAAAAATCAGAATGTTAAATAGAAACAGCAATTAACAAATTAACAGTGAACAAAGAACTAACTCGACAAAGCCAACAATAAAACAATGCTAAGGCAGTTGTGCTATGAGACCTCATAGCGCATAATTAAAAACCCACAATGCTGAAGAGAAAATAAAGGAAAGGAAAGAAATTGCAAGAATTGCAAGAAAATCTAATAATTGCTTTGAGAGCCAGTGTGGTTAAGGGCTGAAGGCATCAGGCCAGAAAGTAGGAGACCAGGAGTTCTAGCCCATTTTGAGCACAAAGCCAGCTGGGTGACCTTGGGCCAGTCCCTCTCTCTCAGCCCTAGGA